ACTGTCCTCCAGCCTGGGCAACAGGGTGAGACTCCAACTCAAAAAAAAAAAACAAAGAAGAAAAGCCAGAGCCAGAGACTGACTGGCTGCCGTGTGAACTGCTCCCAACCAAGCGCCAAGCACCTCCCAACCGAGCACCTAGCACCTCCCAACCAAGCACCTCCCACCCAAGCACCTAACACCTCCCAACTGAGCACCTGAGCATCAAGCAACTCCCAACTGAGCACCTAGCCTCTCCCAACCAAGAGCCAGAGAACCCCCCCAACCAAGAGCCAAACACTCCCCCCAACTGAGCACCTAGCACCTCCCAACCGAGCACTGAGCACCTCCCAACCAAGAGCCATGCACATCACAACCAAGAACCAAGCACCTCCCAACAGAGCACCCAGCTTCATCCCTACCAACATGAGGAAGTAAAAAGATAAACCCGTGTGCCGGTGCAGTGACCATGCTTTGGTGGTGGGAGGACATGTTTATGATGACGACAGTCAACATTTACTGAACCCACAGGCTGTTGATGTCTCCCATGTGACATGAGACATGGTCACAGCTGTGCACAGACAGGGAAACTGAGGCACAGAGCAGTACCCATGACATCTTTGACTCTTGTCTTTCTTTTTTTTATTTTTATTTTTTGAGTTGGAGTCTCACTCCGTCGCCCAGACTGGAGGGCAGTGGCCGCTCCCGGCCACTGCAGCCTCGACCTGACGGGCTCCGGCGATCCTTCCGCCTCAGCCTTCCGAGTAGCCGGAACTACAGGCGCGCGCTACCACGCCCGGCTGATTTTTTGATTTACTGTAGAGATGAGGTCTCATCAAGTTGCCCAGGCGGGTCTCGAACCCGCGGGCTCAGGCAATCCACTCACCTCAGCCTCCCAAAGCGCGGGATGACAGGCTGAGCCACCGAGCCCGGCTAACTCTTGTCTTCTATCCAACCCACACACTTCCAGAAAGATCCCAAAGCCGGCCACTCTCGCTCCCAGCCTGCTCCCACCCAGACTAGGCCGCTGCCCTCTGTCCCCAGGATCCAAGTAGTAACTGCTCACAGAGTTCCTGCACCAACCGCCTCATCCAGCCTACCCTCACTCCACAGTCAGAGGACCCCCTAAGCCAGAGTCAGGCCAGGGCCTGACCCACCCCCTCCTTGGTCCCACTCCCCCCCCCACAACAGCTCCTCACAGAGGCTGACCCCAGCTACCCCAGGGCCTTTGCACTGGCCGTTCCTGTGGCCTGGAATGCTCTTCCCCCAGAGATTGGCATGGTTCTCTGCCTCATCGCTCAGGTCTCTGCTCAAAGGTCACCAAGAGGCCTTCCAGGCCCCTGCGCTGTGAGGACGGCCTCCCTGTCCTCGGCGCTGCTCCGTCCTCCCCTACGACACATGTCCCTCTCCGACACACCATCCCTTGCATCTCCCTGCCCCCATTGTGAGGGTCTGGAGGGCAGACAGGGCTATCCCTGCAGCATGGAGAATGTCCCCTTGCCCACCCCCCACGTACAAGCGCTGCTATCCAGGGGGTGCATACCGGGCTGTGGCATCCCACACTGAGTGGCGAGGGTCGGGGACAGCAGTGACACGATGGCCACGGTGTCCACTGCTGAGCAGACCGAGAGCCGGCCCTGGCCAGGGGCTCCAGCAGGCAGCCCGTCAGCCTCTCCCACCACTGACAACGCCCCTTAGCCAGGGAGACCCCTGTACCAGCCACCACCCCGAGAAGGCCATCGGTGACCCCAGGGGTCCTGAAGCCATGCCGCAGAGAGGGGACAGTTCACCAGGCAGCACAGAGGCCCCTGGAGCTCAGCTGGCCCCTGGGCAGCGGCGGGCGACCGGCCCACCTGCAGAGGTCCAAGAAGGGCCTGGGGGCGCACCCCCGGGGACTGGGGCGTCCTCAGGCATTGGGGGAACCAGGCCGAGCCCAGGGACTCAAAACACCTGGGCCATAAGCTCCACCCATCCCACCCTAGGGCACCCACCCCCTGCCCACACTTGGGTCACTCGGTGGCTTCTGAGGGCTCCAGCCTGGGCCTCACCACGTGGAGAGCACGGCCTGACGCTTCCGGGGGGACCAGCCCAGTCTGTTCAGGGTGGAATATCCCAGAAAGGGGGCCGTGCACCAGGCAGGAGCCCGCCTCACTCGTTCACACACACATACAAGTTCTTGCTGACACACACATGCACACAGGCTCACACACCCACACACACCAGCTCTTACACAAGCAGCGACCTCGCAAGGCCCGTAGCAGAGGTCTATCCTGCGCCCCCCCCAAGCCACCACACCACACGGAGCCACCCGCACCCCTCGCCGGGCCTGTTCCCTCACCTCCCGGCCCTCATTCCACCCCGCCCGCGCACGCCCAGGGGTGTCTGCACGGTCCAGCAACCAGCACCTCACGGCCCAGTTTCTGCTTATTTTTGCAGAGGCGAGATCTCGCTCTGTTGCCCAGGCTGGTCTCAAAACTCTCAGGCTCAGGCGATCCTCCTGCCTTGGCCTCCCAAAGTGTCAGGATCACAATAGCCCATCGGGTGTTACCCAGGGAAGGGGCAGGGGGCGGGGAGGCTACTGCCAAGGACAAGGACAAGTTGGTGGCACCAGGCCTAGAGCCCGGAGGGCTTCAGCCCTTCCCAGTGCTTGGGCAGCATCCCGCCACCGGACTCCACGGACAGACAGAATCCCTGAGCCCCGGCTTCAGGGAGGGCAGCGGGCTCCTGCCTGGGTGCACAGTCCCCTTTCTGGGACATTCCACCCTGAACAGACTGGGCTGGTCCCCCCGGAAGCGTCAGGCCATGCTCTCCACGTGGAACCCTCAGAAGCCATGAATGACACACCAAGTGCTTCCGACAGAATCTTGGGCAAAGGCAAAAAAGCCCTCACGCCCTGTCCAAACCACCTGCAAGCCGATTCTGAAGACAGAACAGCACAGCACAGGACATGCATGGCAGGGGTCAGGGATGCGTGTCCTGCTCCATGCAGGACGCAGCCCAGGCAGGAGTGTCACAACCCAGTGCCACAAACCAGTGTCACTCGCAAGCCCCAAGAAGAGGGATGGGGCTGACCAGGCAAGCCATTCCATCCGCTCAGAAAAGTCTGGAATGGGCTTGGCCATCTCCCCATGCTGGCCTTCAGCTCTGTGTCCATTCTCAGCTTTGCTGCCACCCACACTCACCCCACCTGGAGTCGCGCCCGGGTCCTGAGACTTCAAGGACCCAGGTGAGCTCGGAGTCAGACAGACAGCAGAGGAGGGGCTAAGAACAGCTTCTAGAACAGACCCGAGAAGCCACCCCCAGCAACTTCCACTCCCAGTCACGGAGAAGGTGACACTTTTTGGTCCGTTTTCAGCCAATGCAGTTATAAAACAGGCATGAAGTGTAAATTCACCTGTCAGAGGGCTCACGCTTCCCAGCTACCCATCACACACACAACAGAGGTGTGTGTAGCCTCAAACCCACAGCCAACTCCACCAGCCGCCTCATATGGGCAAGTTTAAATAAGAAACACAACTACTTGGCCGGGCACAATGGCTCACATCTGTCATCCTAGCACTTTGGGAGGCTGAGGTGGAAGGATCACTTGAGCCGAGGTGTTTGAGACCAGCCCAGGCAACATAATGAGACCTCGTCTCTACAAAAATAAGAAAAAAATTAGGGCAACCCCTTCGATTCCCCTCCCACTGTGGGAGCTTTTCTGTCCTCTTAATAAATCCTGCTTTCTCAAAATAAAATATAAACTAAAAAAATAAAATAAAATGCCAGGCTCGGTGGCTCAGCCTGTCATTCCAGCACTTTGGGAGGCTGAGGCGAGTGGATTGCCTAAGCCCACGGGTTCAAGACCTGCCCGGGCAACTTGGCGAGACCTCGTCTCTACAATAAATAAAAAATTATCCAGGCATGGTAGCTCATGCCTGTAGTTTTGGCAAAAGAAAAAAAAAAAGAAAAGACTAAATTAGCCAGGTATGGTGGTGTGCAACCATAGTCCCAGCTACTTGGGAGGGCTGAGGTGGACGGATCACCTGAGCCCAGGAGGTCGAGGCCGTAGTGAGCCATGATTGTGCCACTGCATTCCAGCCTGGGCGACAAGCAATCAATCAATAGAAATAAATAAATAAAACTACAGAACATTGAGACAAAAATAATTCACAATAAGGACCAATTCTGAAAGGCAAACTCATGTTAAGATTGACACGGAAGCCCGGTGTTCACGCCCGTCATCCCAGCACTTTGAGAGGTGGAGGTGAGAAGACTGCCTGAGTCCAAGGGTTTGAGACCAGCCTGGGCAACATGGCGAGACCTCATCTCTACAATGAATTAAAAAAATCAGTCGGTCGTGGTGGTGCACGCCTGTCGTCAGAGCTACTTGGGAGGCTAAAGCAGGAGGATCGCTCGAGCCCAGCAGGTTGAGGCTGTGGTGAGCCATGATCATGCTACTGCACTGCAGCCTGAGAGACAGTGCAAGACCCCAACTCACAAAGAAAGGAAAGAAAAAAAGAGAGAAAAGAAGGAAAGAAAGAAAAAAAAAGAGGAAGACTAAATATTGAAATGAAAATAATTCCTAACAATGACAAACTCCAAAAAGCGAACTCATGTTAAGATGGACACATGAGGTGGGCACGGTGGCTCATGCCTGTCATCCCAGCACTCTGGGAGGTCCTGGTGAGAGGACTGCCTGAGCCCAAGGGCTTGAGACCAGCCTGGACAACGTGACGAGACCTCATCTCTACAATGAATTAAAAAATCAGTCGGGCGTGGTGATGCACACCTGTCGTCGCAGCTACTTGGGAGGCTAAGGCGGGAGGGTGGCTTGAGCCCAGCAGGTCGAGGCTGCAGTGCGTGAGAACAAGCCACCACACTCCAGCCCGGGTAACAGAGGGAGACCCCGACTCAAGATAATCATAATAATTTTAAAAAAGGACACGTGTCCTCTGAAAAAGAAACGCAGCTCAGGTCTGTTCAAGAGGGAACCACGACCCGCCCACCGGGGACCCAGGAAGAGCGGCCGCGCGGCTCACCCGTGGGCAGGGTCCAAGGCGATGGCCCGCGGCTGGTCGAGGTCCTGCCAGAAGAGGACCTTGCGGGACGTGCCGTTGAGGTTGGCCACCTCAATGCGGTTGGTCTCCGAGTCCGTCCAGTACAGTTTCTCGCCCACCCAGTCACAGGCCAGGCCGTCGGGCGAGACCAGGCCCGAGACCACCACGCTCTGCACGGCGGCGCCCGTCTGGTTCAGGAAGGTCTGCTTGATCGCCTCTTCGCTCACGTCGGTCCAGTACACGGCACCCCGGGAGAACTGGAAGTCCACGGCGGCCGCGTCCTCCAGGCCGCTGACCACGACGGGGGACTCCAGCTTCACACCGCCGGCGTCCACCAGCCGCACGTCCCGGCGGTTGGCAAACAGCAGGAGC